GATGTGGTAGTATGGATGCTACTTATTATCATATTTGGTGGACATGTAGGGATGTTAAAGCTTTTTGGATTAAGATTTGGTGGAATATTCAACAGATTTTTAAGAAAAAGATAAAATTTACACTGCAGTTATTTATTTTGGGTATTATGGATAATTTGGATCAAAAAGAAATGATACTGATGTTGTATTGTATAACAGCAGCAAGGACATTAGTTGCTCAAAATTGGAAAAAAAAGATATTACCAACTATGGATGATTGGAGACAGAAAGTATCATGTTTTGCAGAGATGGCAAAAATATCCGCGTACCTGAAGGATCATTCTCAGGAAAAATTTATCTCAATATGGAGAAGATGGATAGATTATATTCAGAGAAAATATGAATTAAAAAATTATTATGTAGCTTTTGATTAAAAACTTAGAACAAAATTAAGTATATTATATATTGATATAACTTAAAAAAATTTTTTGTTGTAATTTAATGTTATTTTAGAGTCACAGTAATTTTGTACTAGTGTGTAGTAATAATGAGTAGTTTTGATTAGTATCGGATGATTGTGCATTTATTTCCTAGATTAGCTTTGGGAAGTCCTGGGGGGGGGAGAGGGGAAAGGGGTAGGTTGGTATTATAGATTTATATGTATATATATGTATGATTTTCTAAGGAGGTGCCCGGTGATACCCCAACTGCACTGACAGGATGGTTGAGGGAGAAAGGGAGGTAGAAAGAGGGAGGAAGGAGGAGTGGTGGTAGGATAGGGAGGAGGAAGGTGTAGGTAAGTGAGAGGGTGGTGCAGAAGGGGGACACTGGACACGTCCGTGAATGTATTGATTGGTGTTGATATTTTTTTTTGGTTAATATTGTGATAAAAGATTTATGTTTTTGTTTTTCAATGAAAAATCAATAAAAAATTATTTAAAAAAAAAAGTATAATAAAACTGTATTTGATGGCTGGCCACTAAATGAGTAGGAACTTTTGTGAAATACTGTATGTGACTCATATAATGTAAGAGATCAAAAGGTTTATAGATTATTTAATCCAACTGCTCCTCAATGCAGAAACTACCATAACAGCTTTGAATTTCATTTTGTTAAATAGGGCCCAGTATTCTTGACCCTGTCTTCTGGAGTGTTGGCTATTCCTGCCAGCTTAGTGTTATCTGAAAATTTGATGCCTTCCCCTTCTATCTCCTTGTCTAAATCATTGATGAAAGTATTGAAGAGTACTGGACCTAAGACAGAACCCTGGTATACCCCACTGCATACTTTCCTCCATGTAGATGCAGTTCCATTAAGGACTACACAATGAGTGCGGTTGGTCAGCCAATTACTGGTGGTAATGTTGTCT